CACCTACAACAAACCAACTGTGAATACATATAGATCTTATTGCTTTAGGCTTGTGATGCAGGATTTTCGCTGTTTCTGGATCGTCGGTTTGAGCTTCTACAAATTCGAATGTGGATTTCTATAACCTCATATGGACTGGTTGATGTGACAAGACTCATTCCAGCTAAGTATCGTCATAAGGATGAATGAAAGTAGCCTAGGCGCGAATAGACGAGGACCCTCCGCAGTCACAGTGATCAATGATGAACAGTGAAAGCAAAGGAGGTAGGAAGGTTATCAGCACAAGCGATTACTTGGCAAGTACTTCGGTTTGTTAATAATGCCGAAAGGAAGGTATTGTTTGATGAGACTGTTGCTCAAGAGGATGGGTCGCTGATGTCCTCTGACGGGAAGTGGCTAGAAGATTGAGCGGAGAACTGTGAAGAGCAGTTCAACTGGGCTAGTGTAATGCTGGTTTACCTGGGATCTGATCTTAACCCTAATGGCATATAGATATCGGTCCTTCATCTCCCCTCGAAGAAGAGGAGGCTGTGTCAACAGTAAAATCATACAAAGTGGCAGGACCTAATGGTTTGCCACCGAAGATAAGGAGGGAGAAAATTAATTAGTGATGTGACAAAGGTACTAGTTAGTGTAAGGATATCGAGAGTAGTCCCGTCCTTCTAATCTGGATAACTAATTATTCTAGTCAGTGTGAAGGGTAAGAAGCCTTCTTGTTATAACCACAGTGGAATCAGTTTGACAAATATTCCGTCTAAGATCCTAGGATGCATACTTTTTAATGCCAAAACCCAAGAACAACAAATGGGTAGGTCTCAGACCTGGACGAAACTGTATCCATCAGATCTTCATTCCACCACAGGTTCTTGAACTCAGGTTTTGCTGCTAGTGCCCGACACATGATTTTTCTTCATCTTAAGGCAACATTTTCTGTCAAGCAAGAGGTGTCATGACACTATCTGACTGTGAAAGTGGTACCCAGCAAGTATGTTGTTTTAATCAAAGCACTGTAATTTAACTCCTGTAGCCACGTACGGGATTATGGCCGCGTATCATCTTAAGTGACGACAATCATTGACATCCACCAGGGGTGTCTGTTATCAATGTTCCTGTTCAACTTCGTGAAAGACGTACTAGTGGACGTAACCCAGGTACCTGTGACTTACTCCTAACAAGGGAAGTGGTATGCCGATGGTATTGTCCTGTTAGGCAGAGACGCTAATAAAATAATAATATAACTCATCACTACATAATTATTTTTTGACCCTTAGTAAACAAGCACATACACATACACTCAAATTCATGCCCAATAAATGTGTATAAATGAATCATCTGTAGATTTTGTCTCCTTACTTCGTAATTGTTTCATCAATATTGATTTCTTTGTACATTTAGCACACTAGACTGATAGCAGTTCTACCATTCCATTCGATTTGATCTCCATTCACCCATAACACTGACTGTTTCAATGTAGTGAAATCGTACATCATGCCTTATTTCGGCTATTGTATTTCACTTATTCTCATGGATTTATAGCTGTAGACCCCAAAGAAGTTATTGAGAACAGTTGTTCACTCAAATTATTCTTGTTCTAAATACAATATTCTGAACGCATTGAGCAGAAATCTTGTTATTCGACATTACATTTGTTTTTTCGATATACCATACAGTGATACGGTATTAAAGTAAATAATACTATATCATTTTATGCCACACCAAAAAACGAATCTCATATGGAATTACATTCTACTACAGGGTCCACGATTTCCACTCTTATTTAGAAATCTTATTACATTTGGCATACTTTTTAGACATGTCAAGAGTAAGATGATACTTCGGGACTGTTCTGTAGCTGCTCCTTGTTTATGGATAGAATGTGAAGTAGTGGAATGTGTTATCCATTTAAGTTACTACAAGGTTGCATCAGTCCAGGTGGGAATGTTTTGGACGAAATGACGGCTAAGGCTTAAATTACCTATTTCGCATTTGTCAACTTATGATACCTTCAGTGCCATCAAAATATTCGATAACATATTACAGAAAGAGTATACTGTGCCTCAGGTTGCTTTTTCAATATGCCCGTAAGACATAAATGCTTGAATAAAGGGTGAAACGTCATACGTTTTCACAGCAGATATCCTCACAGCATCACTCATTCATGGCGGGACCACTCTGTGAGAGGTGTTGAGGTTTGATGATAGGTACTAGGCAAAATGAGTTAGTCAGTCAACAGTGTTGTAAATCTTCATCGAATGATCTGAAATCAACAGGTATTGTATGTGATGAGGCACCACCCGCCTCGATGTATTATGTAAGTTTAAATATGGTTAGATTGGAAGAAGGCTAGAAGGGGTGAGATCAAGACGTGTCACGAGTTCACGAGGTATTTGACCGTTGATCGTCAGGGAGGAGTATGTTACTTGAAGGATTGAAAATTTCGAATCGCCTCTTTTGATAGGGAAGGCAGTATTTTCATGGTCATCCACCAGGATAACCCAACTACTGTCACGCTCCTTCTGGCAGGAAGTGCAACATAGTCGTCAAATAGACATCATACGCAATTTTGATAACTACCGTTTTGCAACGAATTTCAGTCTGTGATGAAAACTGCCTGGAAACCGATCAGTCTCCACAAACCACCACTTAAATAACTTGCAGTGCTCATTTTCCAAGTGCACCGTGATGGTTTTTAGAAAATCAAATAAATAGCTATGACCTGTTGGCTCAACCAAGTTGGACGTGAGGATATATACTCTCCGATGACTTCGGATGGAATACTAGCTTAATTGCAAATTGACAAATCTAAAAAGATATATACCATTGGATTCCAGTGAACTGTCTCAGTGGCAACTTTTTCGCAGCATAACCTAAAAATCCTTGGCTGCAGTGTACATAGGTGCCCACTGCTTATGAGCTTCATGTTAGAACGAAATAACTGTGTATTGCTGCCGACTCTTAAGTGGTTCCTCTCTTGATGTTAGTTTTTAAAAAACAGTACCTTAGAAATTTAAATTCCTATAAACCACCAATATGGAACACGTAGTCTTTGCCAGACATGTCCTGGATTAAGCACTTTCAAGTGGTGTACAATGATACTTATAATTACGACACACCAAGTATGTCTATTATTGGTCAACAGGTTAACTCTACGTAATAATTAAAAATGTACGAAGGAAAATTAATTAATTTTCCGTAGAGTCAAGTATATTGTGAAGTAGTAGTGAAAGATAAAGCAGATTATTAGTTACAGTGATAACTTTCAGTAACTTTTAAAAATTGGATGTAAGAAAGTAAATCTCAAGGTAGTAACTATAATCAAACAACAGTAGTTAGGAGATTACTGAACCAAGAAAAGAGGTCAATAAATACTATGCCCGTGAAATAATAACAAATCGTAAGTACCTTGTTTCATGCCTAACTGAGGTCTGAATAGTCGTTAATTTTCTAATTCTGTCAATAATATACAATTTCCCCTAACTATATTTCTTCGACGATCATCTAGATTTCACTTTTTAAAAACAATTTTTCCGTCTTATGAATTCAATGGTATAATTCGAAAACGTAGTTCGTTTAACTGTCTTGATGTGCCAGCGCCTTGTGTTTCTAACATTTCTTTAACAGATTTACTACTTAAGGTTTTTCATACGAAAAATGCAAGTGTATGGAGGTGAGGTCATACTCGGTTATAAGATGACATCAGCACCACCAGTGTATGGAATTCAAGTGATCACCCGGTAATTCAGGCCTCGAAAGTACAACTGAAGATCAGTTTTGCACCACAACATGTGCAATGTTCCCAAATATGATAAGCCATGCCACATTATACTTTAGGATAATGTTTCTAAAAAATATGCTACTTTATTCTATTCTTTGCATCAAGATGGTATAAATGCTTTTCTTTGAAATCTAATCCAGAATAAGCTTTAACTTAATTTGCTTTCTGCATCAATTTTTGAGTTTTGATGGATATCGTATTTCGGTAACCTTATTACTTTTAATTTTGATGTCATCATTGGTTGTGCCTGCTACATGGATAATTTGGATCCTCAAATAGACACTTTATCAAGCGTCAGTTATATTGCATTGGAAAAAAGCTATGGAAATTTAGGTAATTCTCTGCTCAAATCAGTTTCCTGTAAATTGATCGTTTTACAGAAACATTTTCTTTGAGTCAGAATTTCATCCAAGAAGAGCGGGTATTTATTCTTTTTCCCGTAATGTGTTAAATGTATGTTTGCTTATCACACATGAAAATAACATAATTCATGCAAAGATTTGATTTCATCGGTGAATTATATTGCCTCAACTGTTTTGGGGACTTTCAAGATAAGAATCAAAGCGAGCAAGCAGATCAGAACGAATATCATAGGTATTTCCCCAGTTCAATCAATTTTATACGTCAGCTAACTATGTGAAGTTTATGGAGAAAATCTCTGAATGGATACACACAAATAAAAGTTTTTCAGCTGTCAGAAATTCAATCAAGCAGTGCACAAACTGTCAGTGGAGGTTTGTTTAAGCAACACACTTCCTGCCTCCGAACTTTTGTTGACACTCGATTATGCTACTACCAGATGTCAAAGAAACTATACCACTGGCACAGAAAGACCGCATGTCAGGGAGGAGTATGTTACTTGAAGGATTGAAAATTTCGAATCGCCTCTTTTGATAGGGAAGGCAGTATTTTCATGGTCATCCACCAGGATAACCCAACTACTGTCACGCTCCTTCTGGCAGGAAGTGCAACATAGTTGAACCGATGTGGTTCTATGCAAAGTTCCACTTTTGTTTTGTTTGTCTTTATATTCACCTGTCTCAATACTGTCTTTGTCTCTTCGTATGACATTCAAGTTCAGGCAGTGGGTTAACAAACCGACGGTTTGATACTAGTAAGCGTGTAAGGACTAATTTGCTATTACCTTCAACAGTTTTGCAAGCAAGTCGCTTGGGGAAATATCCACGACACACGACGTAGCATTGGTGGTCGCACAGATTATACAATGTCGACATCCATAAGTATGAATTCCGGCATAGGTGAGCGCTGGAGTCATTCGCCATTTGCTACCCACAGTCATCCAACACTAATTAAAGTTGATGAAACAAGTGCAACAGGAAATATTGACCCCAATTTTCAAATGAATAACACCACATCTAGAAACAACCAGAATAATGAGCAGTTTAGTGTTGGTCTGTTTCTAACTGACTCATGGGCAAGTAGTGGTCAACCTCTGCTATCAAGTGATCGAGATAGTTCACTTAGCCACTTAATGCTATCTAATTTTGGTTACACAAGTAGCGAAAGTAGAAGCAGCATGCTAGTTAGCCCACCAAGTCAAAATATTCAAACTTCGCCTGGAGGTTCATTACATCCAATCGAATCCAGAAATTTGCAACATCCTTCTGCTAGTGAACCAGTAGCGAATATTCAAAGAACAGGAAATGATGCTAGAAACAACTTCCCAATAAATACGTCATTTGAAGCTGCAGCAGGATATGTGTGGCCCCATTGGCCTGATGCCATTCCTAATCCAGAAGAAAACAATTTGGATCAAGCAAACCCTAGCGAAACTTCCTATATTCTTGCTACGATCGATACGGACTCAGAAAATAACCTTCCTTTTCTCAACCGTCAACTCTGGCTTCGACGCAATGCTCGTCAAAGACGCTATTATCTCAGACAACTGCAACTTCATAGAAGTGTGGCAGATTCGAGCTTAGCAGAACAAGCTGGTGAAGATGCTATAGATGAAAATTCCAGCTGGCCAGAACACTCAGGGTCAAATCATGATAATTCAAATGCCCCGCAAGAAGATAGTGATACAGACCAAGGTTCAACTGATCGGTACTGGCCCGATCCAACATGTCCCTTACAAAATGCATAACTCTATCTCAGTATTGTATAATTTTTATTATTATAGACGTTATTTCACGCAAATTTTATAACCTTATTTTCAATACATAATTCCTCAAATTATTTGATGATCTCATTTCGTCCAAAAAAATAACATTAAATGATACTGAGAAAGCTGTAAATACTTTTATATCCACTTTGATACAGCTCAAATATTTCAAAGAAAAGCTTTTCTAGAAACGGAAATTATTACTTTCCCTTTACATCTCAACCAATAAACATATCTATGTTGTATTTCCTCCTATATAATAGTGAAAACTTTATCTTTTGTTGGTATCTCCTTCTGTATATTTGTTTAAAATGTTCTACTTTCTTAGGAAAAGCATTTTTATCATTAACAGATTATAATTCTGTGAAAGACGTGCATTCAGCATATCCTCAATGATGTATATTGGATCTTGAACCAGTTCATGCTAGTTTAAAAAAGCCTATTGTTTTATGCAGAAGAAAATGGTTGCAGAATAGTAAGACTCGTGTCATCTTAGGATAAAAGGACACTGAGTGTGATATTTAAGTGTGATGGTATTTTTTGTTATTTTCGAACAGCGAATGTTTCATGTCTTACCTCGTAAGATAAATTTGATAAAGTGGATACACTTAGCTGCAGAAATGTTTGTCAAATATAAGTCTAAAAGACAGACAATTTAGTACTTTTTAAGGATTTCAATGCAAAAGATACCCACAAAAATCAAAAAACTAAATTATATTAATTATTTCAAAGCGGAAATGTACCTCATGAAGTATTTTATTTCGTACATGCTATCTTGGAGTTACACGTTAGGATTTTCTTTATTGTACAGACCATCTACAAAACAAAATTATTTTGGCACATGTGAATTCAGTTCTACTTATATATGCTTATTGTACAGGGTAATATGATCTTTAACCTTCATAAATAAGCAAACAATTCTAAGAAAACATCTGAAATATTTGTATGTACTCAGTAGCAAATGATTTCTTCGTATTTTTCGCCCTATAAGAATATATTTTAACATCAAATAATGATGAAAAGACCTACTTCAGGGTTAAAAAATTGGTTTGATATTGGAAATAAATATTAAATATATGAAGATTAATAAATGTAATTTACCTACAGATTCGAAAGTTCGGTCTGAACTCAAAGATGGCAGGGCTGTTGGGTACATATTTCGCAAACTCAATTTTCCGGCTTAAATATGACGATTAGCACCTCTCAAAATAATGAATTAAGGTGAAATTAACAATCAGTCATTGCAACTTCTGACCAGTGAGGAAAAGATATTCGTAAACCCCACAATAACTTTTTCACACAACCTCAATAATAGCCCGTAGCAAAGTTTCAAAACTATTTTTGAAAATCTTAAAAACACCGAGTACTAAATATCCTCATGATAATAATACATAATAGATTAGTATATTCTACATGCTATATAGTTATTTGGCGTTATTTTGGGAAGTGATACTAATACTTAATCAAACGGACTAATCTAATACGGAATTACATTCTGCAACTGTGCCCACATTCGACATATAGTTATCCCCCAGTTGTTATGATAGGTATCATCCTTTATGATTGCCACTGCATAAACCAGAATATCTGTTTACTTAAATTTCATCATACAGTTATCTGATAACAAAATCCACTTGATTAATACAACTAGATTACACTGTGATACATATATTTATACCAAAAAAGATTCTGCATCTTGTGATCTGCACCATATAAAAACAAAAGCACCACTCCTGTCTTTTTAAAAAAAGATATATGGAGCAGTTAGTATTATCAAATGTAATACGTAGTTTTAGGGTTAGGGTAAATTTTCACAGACAATATTTTTTACGTCAAAATCAACTGAAGTAATACTTCATAGTTATTTCTGAGTGATACAGATCAAATTAGAATTTTGCATAGAACCACATCGGTTCAACTTGCCACACTTCATTACAATATGCAAAGAACAAGTGAGTAGAAAAAGAGCATAACTAAGGTAGACAAAAGTGTATGGCTCGAGAGAGGTGAAGTAAATGAAGGTTAGTGAAGTTGTTGAAGCTTTAGAAATGTTGAGGAATGAGAGAATATATCTGCTCTTATGTAACCAATTCTCAATCGTATCATCAAGATTCTCGAACCGATTGTTCTACTGTCTGGAGGACCCCAACTAGACAGTCCACATCCCACCCGACTCAGATCAACGGTCAAATACCTCGTGAACTCGTGACACGTCTTGATCTCACCCCTTCTAGCCTTCTTCCAATCTAACCATATTTAAACTTACATAATACATCGAGGCGGGTGGTGCCTCATCACATACAATACCTGTTGATTTCAGATCATCGATGAAGATTTACAACACTGTTGACTGACTAACTCATTTTGCCTAGTACCTATCATCAAACCTCAACACCTCTCACAGAGTGGTCCCGCCATGAATGAGTGATGCTGTGAGGATATCTGCTGTGAAAACGTATGACGTTTCACCCTTTATTCAAGCATTTATGTCTTACGGGCATATTGAAAAAGCAACCTGAGGCACAGTATACTCTTTCTGTAATATGTTATCGAATATTTTGATGGCACTGAAGGTATCATAAGTTGACAAATGCGAAATAGGTAATTTAAGCCTTAGCCGTCATTTCGTCCAAAACATTCCCACCTGGACTGATGCAACCTTGTAGTAACTTAAATGGATAACACATTCCACTACTTCACATTCTATCCATAAACAAGGAGCAGCTACAGAACAGTCCCGAAGTATCATCTTACTCTTGACATGTCTAAAAAGTATGCCAAATGTAATAAGATTTCTAAATAAGAGTGGAAATCGTGGACCCTGTAGTAGAATGTAATTCCATATGAGATTCGTTTTTTGGTGTGGCATAAAATGATATAGTATTATTTACTTTAATACCGTATCACTGTATGGTATATCGAAAAAACAAATGTAATGTCGAATAACAAGATTTCTGCTCAATGCGTTCAGAATATTGTATTTAGAACAAGAATAATTTGAGTGAACAACTGTTCTCAATAACTTCTTTGGGGTCTACAGCTATAAATCCATGAGAATAAGTGAAATACAATAGCCGAAATAAGGCATGATGTACGATTTCACTACATTGAAACAGTCAGTGTTATGGGTGAATGGAGATCAAATCGAATGGAATGGTAGAACTGCTATCAGTCTAGTGTGCTAAATGTACAAAGAAATCAATATTGATGAAACAATTACGAAGTAAGGAGACAAAATCTACAGATGATTCATTTATACACATTTATTGGGCATGAATTTGAGTGTATGTGTATGTGCTTGTTTACTAAGGGTCAAAAAATAATTATGTAGTGATGAGTTATATTATTATTTTATTAGCGTCTCTGCCTAACAGGACAATACCATCGGCATACCACTTCCCTTGTTAGGAGTAAGTCACAGGTACCTGGGTTACGTCCACTAGTACGTCTTTCACGAAGTTGAACAGGAACATTGATAACAGACACCCCTGGTGGATGTCAATGATTGTCGTCACTTAAGATGATACGCGGCCATAATCCCGTACGTGGCTACAGGAGTTAAATTACAGTGCTTTGATTAAAACAACATACTTGCTGGGTACCACTTTCACAGTCAGATAGTGTCATGACACCTCTTGCTTGACAGAAAATGTTGCCTTAAGATGAAGAAAAATCATGTGTCGGGCACTAGCAGCAAAACCTGAGTTCAAGAACCTGTGGTGGAATGAAGATCTGATGGATACAGTTTCGTCCAGGTCTGAGACCTACCCATTTGTTGTTCTTGGGTTTTGGCATTAAAAAGTATGCATCCTAGGATCTTAGACGGAATATTTGTCAAACTGATTCCACTGTGGTTATAACAAGAAGGCTTCTTACCCTTCACACTGACTAGAATAATTAGTTATCCAGATTAGAAGGACGGGACTACTCTCGATATCCTTACACTAACTAGTACCTTTGTCACATCACTAATTAATTTTCTCCCTCCTTATCTTCGGTGGCAAACCATTAGGTCCTGCCACTTTGTATGATTTTACTGTTGACACAGCCTCCTCTTCTTCGAGGGGAGATGAAGGACCGATATCTATATGCCATTAGGGTTAAGATCAGATCCCAGGTAAACCAGCATTACACTAGCCCAGTTGAACTGCTCTTCACAGTTCTCCGCTCAATCTTCTAGCCACTTCCCGTCAGAGGACATCAGCGACCCATCCTCTTGAGCAACAGTCTCATCAAACAATACCTTCCTTTCGGCATTATTAACAAACCGAAGTACTTGCCAAGTAATCGCTTGTGCTGATAACCTTCCTACCTCCTTTGCTTTCACTGTTCATCATTGATCACTGTGACTGCGGAGGGTCCTCGTCTATTCGCGCCTAGGCTACTTTCATTCATCCTTATGACGATACTTAGCTGGAATGAGTCTTGTCACATCAACCAGTCCATATGAGGTTATAGAAATCCACATTCGAATTTGTAGAAGCTCAAACCGACGATCCAGAAACAGCGAAAATCCTGCATCACAAGCCTAAAGCAATAAGATCTATATGTATTCACAGTTGGTTTGTTGTAGGTGAATGCCCGTGCTAGACAGTGCCTTTACTTACGCATAAGTCCATGTTGACCAGAAACAAGTGACTTTCAGAAAAATATTGTAGGAGATGATCAGCGCTGTTAGTTTTTTCGCATGGAATTCCTTGGATACATCCTTGCTACTGCGACAATATCTTAATGTTTTCTTTTGTGTAGAGACAAAGCCAGTTTTAGAGGGGGTTTATTTTCTGTATCATTGGAAGTGCAGTCGTTAGCTGCCTAAGCAAAGACTACGAACAAGCATCATCGTGTGTCCTAATCCAAGTTCTTCCATCTACATTCAGTTGGATGGTGCACTTACGACTACCTATTGGTATCCAGTCAAAAAGTTCCGTATCTATTCTGGAACCTAATATATTACCTACACCAGTCAGTCCATGAAAACTTTCCATTGAATCTGCAGACTCTCACAAGGTGTGTTTTCAATATATACTATATTGTTCAAGTAGGGTTATGTAGACAGGAATAGTCATGTCCAATAAATGCAGTATGTATCCACGGCTCGAGAAACCCTGGTTTTAGTGAGAGACGCCTGGTGTTC